TCTTGGTGTCTCCCGATGAGAGGCTTGAAAATCTTGTTTGTATAACTCTGTCTTCGGATTTGTGGAGGGGTCTTAAGCATGGGGGGTAGCTCTTATTGCCTCCTTGCTTGTTGCGCTTTGGGGACCAGGGATTGTAATTTGCGGCCGGAGAGACAGATGTGCTAAGGCTGAGGGTTTTAGTTGAAGGTCGCTGGACTCTACAGGCTCAAAAGAAATCTAGGTGGAGGCTTTAAAGCCTTTGAAAAACATTAGTAAATAAGATCCTCTTAAGCCCAATAAGGGAAAATATAAAATGTCCCAAAGCCCTACCTAGAAAATAAATTGAGTTCAAGGACTAGAGCACAGTACCACTTCAGAAAGCCTTGCTTTGCTGCCGAGGAAGGCCGGCTAGACTTTCAGTTGTCAGCGACTCACAGCACAAAGCTCTAAACCGTTCCAGAAAACTGCTCTAAACTAGCGAAAAGCAGTTGACGCAAGTGGGTGCTCCGAAAAGTCCCGCGTCCATCATAAAAGCCGACCTTCCCCTCAACAAGTCTCACATCTAAATGAGATTACCTGGCACGCTTTGGCTGCACTTCTGCCTCGTAGGTCTTGCGAATGCTCTGCGCCTCAGGAGAACTCAGAGCACAGTCTGCCCGCCCCCTCAATCAAACCTTCCGCCCATGATGCAACTCCAGCTGGATTCTAGGGTGTACGGTTTAGGGTCTGGCCAACAGCTGTTGGTCAGCATCCTCTGATGTTTCGCCCCTGCAAAAGCTTGCAACCTGGTGATTCATTCAGTTCACAGAATCCTGGACTTGTGCCCCAAGCCCTCTGCATCGAATTCGCACTGCAATCCTGCCAGTTGACCCCGCTTTGTAGCGGTGTTTTGAAACTATAGTACTATCATAAAATTTATTAAGGTATCCTGTATACACCAATATTAATATCGAATAGTATGCTCTTAATATACTGTACTACACAATACTATACTATATCTATGACCAGCCTCATTGTACTTGATCATCGTCTTGTCCAGTCGATTCTCCAGGACCTGGGCAGCGAATATCAAACCTCCTTTCATTTGTCGCATAGTTATCTCTCTTGCTCTCGTTCTGGATCTCACTCGCCTCTCTCTCTCTCTCTTGCGCCTCGTTCTGGATGTCATTATGTGTAGACATGTCTGCCTGCATGCCTGCATAACTCTGCGCCCGTATACCTGTTTGTCTGCACGTATATGCTCGTACTGCACTCTGCACTATCTATGCACATCTGTGCCCATGTACCAGGTGCGCACAAACATGCAACTATCTAGCAAGATCCTTTGGTACTGTTCGGTGAAAACCAACCAACCACCCCCTCCACAGACCGCGAACCCTACACCCCTGACCTCCTGCAGTAGGAGAATATAACGTGCCAGAATCTCTTTCTCTAACTCCTATTCAGCCTTGTTGCCCGGATGTGACGCATCTCCGGGGAGGCCTGCGCGGCATTTGCCAACCCAGCCGTAGTGGGGGTTCATGGTTTCAGTAGGTATACCACCTTTGGGTGCTTAGGACCAAGAGGCAGGAACTTAAAGGACCAAATGACCTTCAAGAAGTGAAGGCACTTGAGTCTTAGACTACACACCCTATAAGGAAAGCTTCAAAGAGTGGACTTGAATCTTGTAACGTATACTACATGCCCTATACGGGATGTGAACTATAAACTTTGGCTGGCTTCATTTGGGAGTTTCCGAAAATAGGGGACCCTAATATAGCACCCTAAACAGTAGGATCCTTACTATAAGGACCCCAAAATGAGGTATCCCTAATTTTCGGAAACTCAAATTTAGTCCCTGAGGGAGATACAATCTAAAGCTGCCTCGCTCGAGTGCATGGTGGCGCCCATGGAAAGTTCCGACATCTTGATGGACAACCTCAGGGTTTAGGGATGTGATGTTTCGGATTAGGTTATACATTGGTTTCGAGGTTTGGGGCTTAGTTTGGGATTTCTGGATTTAGGCAAGTGGTTTTTTGGCAAGAAGCGGGTGCTTTACCTTAAATGTTGTATCCAGAGCCTCTGAGAAACCAGAGAGAATTTCACAAGTAAGCGGGTCAGTGTGAATATGCTCACCACTCCCGCTTCACTGACTAAGTTTGGGGGTGTTCTCTACCATCATTTGTAGGCCGCTACTATGACAGAAACCCTGGCGACTCCGTGCCGGCAACGGGGCTTACAACAGAAACTGTAACGGAACGTAGTGGAGCTGTAACGGATTTGTCGCTCAGCTGTAACGGACCTGTAAAAGAGCTGTAACGGAGCTGTGACGGAAGCTGTAACGGAGCTGCAGAAGCTGCAACGGAGCTGTAACGGAAGCTGTAACGGAGCTGTAACGGGGCTGTAGCAGAAGCTGTAGCGGGCCTGTAACGGACCTGCTACGGAGCGGTAACGGACCTGCAACGGAGCTGCAACGGAAGCTGTAACGGAGCTGTAACGGGGCTGTAGCAGAAGCTGTAGCGGGGCTGTAACGGACCTGCAACGGAGCTGTAACAGACCTGCAACGGAGCTGTAACGGAAGCTGTAACGGAGCTGTAGCGGAGCTGTAGCAGGAGCTGTAACGGAGCTGTAACGGACCTGCAACGGAGCTGTAACGGAAGCTGTAACGGAGCTGTAACGGAGCTGTAGCAGAAGCTGTAACGGAGCTGTAACGGAGCTGTAGCAGAAGCTGTAGCGAGGCTGTAACGGACCTGCTACGAAGCTGTAAAGGACCTGCAACGGAGCTGTAACGGAAGCTGTAACGGAGCTGTAACGGAGCTGTAGCAGAGGCTGTAACGGAGCTGTAACGGACCTGCAACGGAGCTGTAACGGACCTGCAACGGAGCTGTAACGGAAGCTGTAACGGAGCTGTAGCAGAATGCTGTACGGAGCTGTAACGGACATGCAACGGAGCTGTAACGGACCTGCAGCGGAGCTGCAGCGGAGCTGCAACGGAAGCTATGACGGAGCTGTAGCAGAAGCTGCAGCGGGCTGTAACGGACCTGCAACGGAGCTGTAACGGAAGCTGCAACGGAGCTGCAGCGGAGCTGTAGCAGAAGCTGTAGCGGAGCTGTAACGGACCTGCAACGGAGCTGTAACGGACCTGCAACAGAGCTGTAACGGAAGCTGTAACGGAGCGGTAACTGAGGGCCCAGGGTGGGTAGCGCAAATCCCATAGTAAATGATGGTAGAGAACACCTCCAAGACTAAGTCCTCATCATGAAAACAAGGGCTAAACCTTTTGGGAGGCGTGCAGGCAATACTTCTCTGGCCAAAGTAGTGCGCGTACCACTCCGCAAAGAACCAAGGGACAGTTGCAAGCAGCAAGTGTCAGCCAGTCAGCCATGTTCATAGTGACCATGTATGCGGGAAGAAAATAGACAACAACAGCGATGCCCACAATGTTTCGGTCAGGCTCACTAATGAAAACATGACGATAAGCTGCTCAAAGTCAGGCTACCATGGAAAGGTCAATAACTAACGGTTATCCAGAGGCCCCATATAGTAGATCCGTTTTGGGATTACCTTATAGGATTCTATATATGAGCCCCCAAAAGGAACTACTATGGAGCCACTGGGTAGTGCCACAAGAAGGCTGGTATCTGCCATCTCCGCTTCTCCCCGTGCGCAGGATGTGCAAAGAGCTCCTTTTTTCTCTCGCGGCTTCGCGTATCGGGTTAATGCTGCATCGGTCTCTCTTGCGCCAGATCATCTGTAAGGAGCTCAGAGGCATGATGTTCAGCCTAACAAACCTCGGAAAGTCTTTGAAAAGAAAACACGATAGCAGAAGTTTTGCTGACTGCATTTTGTACAATGCAACAGAGTACAGTATATTGTTCTACTTAGGACATTCATGTAAATCGGGTGGAAAACACTCTATCTATCTATCATATATGACAAAAGGCGAAGTTGACTCTCGTCCTATGGCTCTGAGCTGCCCCCAGTCGACCCATGAAAGCTGTACACTCTGCAGCACCATGTGCTCTTCAAATCGCAACTTCGCTCTGGCATTCTCGTCGACCAGCAGTCAGCAGTCCATACGACACTGGGCTCTTCGGGCTCTACTTGCTACTTGTGCTATGGGCCCATTGCCCACCCAAAAAATCAGTCCCTTTCGGTAGTTTGCCTACCCGAAACCCCACTAAATTCTCTAAACCCGAAATGAGGAGCCACCGCTGGCAGACCGCCTGTGCTCGGCACAGCATGCTTCTCAGAACGCTGTACCGGGTGGAAGACAGCCAAGCCAGTCGTGTGTGCAGATCTACATCATCAGCTCCTCATGATGCCACCTACATGAGCATGGACGGCTTACCCTTTCCACCCCCAGCACAGCATCCAAAATCATCAATTGCCGGCAGGAAAGAGATAGCCTGCCACCAGCATTGTGTGAAATCCGACGGTGTAGACGATCTTATTTCCTGAGGGTTCTGGCGAAATCTCTGACTAGATTTTGCGACGGGGTTCGCGATTGCAAAGTTCAGCATGGCAAAATGCAGGTAGTGCCCGACAGCCTACACTAGCTTCTGTCTCGCAGACGCGGCATCAAGCGCCCGAAGACAATGGACAAGCCCCTCCAAGCCTCAGACGGGCGATGTAGTAGCCTGATTTAATCACTAGAATAAGGCTCTGAGGTATATTATAATTTGATTATGATTAGGAACAATACGGAATAATGTTTGAAACTATTGAGGCTTCCAAATTTTATCTTTCTCTACTGTGTCTGTGGCTGAAGCTGGTGAGGGATTCAAGCACAGGGTCCCGTAAGGGTCCTCAATAGAATATGACACTGTGTGAAAGAAAGGCACCAGAAGGGGCCCGAAGTGGAAGCTCAAGGGAAAGCATGAAGGCGTGGAGTTCAAGCGATCGTGTGGCTTTCAGGCAAGGCTGCCGGCTCAAAAGTTCAGCTTTATGCTTAAATGCTGAGGCATACTTGCAGGAGCCGTGATCCAGTTGACGGAACCCATGCTGACAGACTCTTGTCTTTGTTCATGCGGAGGCTTGATTCAATCCACCATGTGCAGCCCAGGATCCAAATGGTTCCAGAAGAGGAAGAAGGCAGCCACATGCTGATACCTGGTCCAGGGCTTCAATGATAAGTCCTCAACAGTTAGTGGCTGAGACCCATGTTGAACAAGAGCAATGGATCGCGTGATCGCCATGTGCATGTAAGATTATCGCGACACTACACGAACCGAATCAAGGGACCTCCTAAGAAACCAGGCTGGGAGAGCAGGCAAGACTTCCACCACAACTAAACGGGACCACTTGTTGCGGAGAAGCTCGGGCATGCTAAGAGTTGGAAGCATTGCAGCATCCCCGTGCCAAATGCCAGATGGCCTAACACTCTCCCCACCCTCAAGATGCACTCCACCACTCCTGCCGAATCCTCTAGCTTGCAAGCCTTCCACCCGAACAGCCTGCAAACCCTGTAGGATGACTTTCGTCATGTACCCCGAGCTGCTGAACGACTTTCAAAAAGCAACTCAAAACCCAAGTTTCGAAAACGCGAGGCTCGAAGATTACTGCTGCTAATGCTACTGCTGCTACTCCTACTACCACTACTACGACGACGCCTGATAGCAATATTACTAAGAAGAGTAACAAGCCCATAAGAGTACTAAGTGCAATACTAGCAATGGGAATATTGACAATAATCACAGTAAAAAGAAACTGAATAATGGCACTCCTACTCCTCCTCCTCCTACTCCTCCTACTACTACTAGTACTACTACTGCTACTACTCCTGAGTGAAGGCCCAGTCACAAGGAGCCCAGTAGACCTGGCGCAGGCCCCGAGCTCGCAGCAGCGGCCGAGGGCCTGGTCGTGGAAGGCAAGGCTTGTTTCCTCGAAGAAATGAAGAGGGTTTCAGGTGCAGGGTTGCTGAAAAGGTTACACTGTACATATATGGGAGTTTCCGAAAATGGGGGTACCTTATCTTGGGGTCCTTATAATAAGGATCCTACTATTTGGGGTACTATATTGGGGTCCCCTCTTTTCGGAAACTCCCATATATCTGTAGGGTCACTAGATTGGGGCCCTGCTTTTGCAATTGCCTCGAGCTGAACGCCAAGCTTTAACCCCGTGCTTCTATAGACGACCTGTGCAAGGCTTCCACTTTCGGTTGTGAATCTTGTGTTTGGTGTCTCGATTTTCAGTTTGGGGACGCAGTTTCGGTACGCAAAGAGCCAGATCAGCAGACTCCTGGTTTGCTGACATTTTAAACAGACCGCTGAAGCTCTTCATCTCGGCCGAAGCACAGCCGCAAACCCCTAGACTAGGCCCCCCAAAAAACCCAAAACCCTGGACGAAGCCCTGAACGGCGAATCTTGAAATCTTAAACCCCAGGCAATCCAAAACCCTCGCCAGGCTTCCCCCAGTTGTGAGCGCTACCTCAAAGCCCCAAACCTGAGACCCGAAACCACCAATCCTGCTGTTTCTGTAGATTCTGCAGAGTTCGACTTTTTAAGAAGAACCGACAAAAAGGCCGTTTGTCCTTGTGATGGTTTCCCTTTTCAGCACGGACTGAGGTGCCGGCCAGCGCCCACGAAACTCGTAGCCCCGTTTTAAGGCCAGAGTTCGAAGGAAAAGCTGTAGAAAAGCTGTAGAAGACCACTGACTGAAGCTTAAGCTGAAGATCCCTCGAGAGAAAAGAACAAATGGTTTCCCTAAACCCTAAACCCCTTTGAGGAACCCCTTTGTAATCCCCTAAGCCTAGGACCCAGAAGCTGCGAAGCCTCCGCTCTTCCCTAGGCGCCGGCTTCGCACCAGCGCTGGCCTGCGGGCATGAGTCTTGAGAGTTGGGAGTTTCCGAAAAATATGGGGACCCCTTATTTGGGGGTGCGTTAAGGGTTCCTTAAAGGGATCTATAAGGTTTCTATATATAGGGTTTAGGGTTTAGAGTTTCCGAAAAATGTGGGGAACCTTGTTTTGGGGTCCTTATAATAATGATCCTACTATTTAAGGTACTATATTAGGTTCCCCAATATTCGAAAACTCCCGTTTCAGGCGCTATCAGGCACAGTCAAGAAGCTCTGCTATTCGGACTCGGACAGGGCTTAGGGCTAAGTTTTCATGGCATTAAACGGCTTTCAGGGCTTTGTGTGCTCTTGACATTCAGGCTCATCAGGAATATGGGGGCTATGTCGAAGTAGTTGAAGTGAGTGCTTTGTCGACTAAGCAAACTCCGTCCTGAATGTTCGGGCCGGGCTGTGCGTATGTCCTTCCACCTTTATGCAGACTAGAACATGTCCATGCAGGTGTATACCTCTTCACAGCTTCTGGAGGACTTCCAGCACACTTTATTGGTAGCTAGTCTTATAAGTCCGACGTATGTTCGAGAATTCCTGAGAGCTCGAGGCTAAGCTTAGAAGGGAATAGACGGGTGCGGTCTGTTCAGGAGCCCCTTGCTGGCGAGGTCTTTCCGGCATGCGCATGCACCTGCCATACAGAACACAGGAAGCCTTGACTGCCTACACCAGCAAGTGGAGCTTTCAACTTGACATCGGCATCGGCACAGACACGGAAGAACCCAAGCTCAGATAAACATGCTCTTAATAACCAATTGGGTTCATGATCGCCATGGAACACCCTAAACTCTAAACCCTAAAGCCGAAGACCCTTCGCCAGAGCTCCTTGGCATCAGCGCTTCCTCCGCCAAACATGCCTTGTTCTGGGAATCCCTAAAGGACTTCTACAAGGCATCCTTCAAGGCTTCCACAAGGGAATCCTTAAAGGGTTCTATAAGGGCATAGTCATAGAGACCGTTAAGGGATACTCTTGCCAGCTAGTCAGGTCTGTAGTGGATTGAAGATCATGGTCTTGAAGCCTGCATAAGCATTGTAGACCTATCTTGGCCCGGATCGAGAATGACATGTGGCATTCCCTTCTTCGCGGGACATCTGGTAGAAAAAGATGTTGGCAAGCTGCCTGGGACCTAGTCACTAGTGCTCTTGAGAAAGTATGAGCTTCGTCAACCAAATCCTAAGCTTAAACCATGTTGGAGCAAGTTTGTAGTCCTTGCCCAAGCTGTGCCACGAAAGCAACCAGTTTGAGCTGCCCAAGCACGCAGCAAGTGAGCGCCTGGAAGTAGCGACAAACTCGACTCCAAGCCCTTGAAACCCATGAAATCATCATTTAAATGCTGCGTCAGGATGTCTCGGAACCACAGAATCCAAATCCAAGATGTAGCCACTAGGGAAATATAGATGTTTACGAGGCAGTCCTTGAAGCTATAGAGGACTTCGCTCACAAGAGATTGCAAATGATGTAAGTTTGGAGGCCTTTGCAGCTGGAGTCCGGCTGGGGCACGAGGGCTTCGTCGCTGATGTGGCTTCAGAGTTCAAACGTCTTTGTCATTCTTATTCTTGTTATAGTATCATTATATTTTGCACTCATTACTGCTAATGGCTAATTATTACTACTGTTCTTATGATTATCAGCAGAGCCGCTGGCGTAGACCTCTTTCGACTTCTTCGTAGACTCCTTTTGAGCTGCCGCCGCCTGGCGCAGCAGCAGCTTGGCATCGCGGTTCTCGGCGTCCAACCTTGCGTTTGGGGTTTAGGGTTTAGGGCTTAGGGTTCACCTGCAACGCCCAGCCCTGCAGAACAGTCGGTTGCGACCCGTGATGCCCAGATTCCGACACAAAGCCTATAACCCTTTGCAACCCGGGCTTTCGGAGTCAGAGGTGGGCCTTGGGAAAACCCTTCACTGACTCGGGGCTTGAGCTGAACCCGGGCACGGCTACGGAACTTCCGGATTCGGCTTTCTCAAAGCTCGACCTAATACAAGGGACTCAATCAGAACAGGTTTTGGCGTATACTGCATACGATCACTAGACAGGGGATGCTGCTGCTGCTGCATATTCCGACCCCTATATTATCTGCTACATATGTATACAACGAAAATAATGATATTCCAGCCAATCCAACACTCCATGAACTCTGAGGGCTTAAATCCCATGAGAGTATCAAAACATTATAAAACCCCTGTAGGCACCCTTTGATGTGAAACGTTAATAGATCAGTCCTCCGATTCTATCAGCCCCTTAGACCCAGCGCGCTTTGAATAGTCGCTTAGGCTCATGAAAAGAAGAACTCCTAAATAACACCCAGAAATCCCCAAGGAGTCTGGGCAAGCAGGGTTATACGTTCCTTGACTGGGGTCAGAAGCAAACATGACGATTTATAGACTGTCGATACTTTACAGCCTACTTGCTATTGCAAGTCCCCGGATCTTGTAAGTCTCTTTTAACCCCGACACGAAACCTGTAGAACCCTGAAAAGCCCTTAGCACCATTGACAAACCTAAGCCCCATCCCGAAACTTCCTAAACTCCTATTCAAGATCCTAATCAAACTACGCTGAAAAAATCCTTAAACCGTAAACCCCATAAATCCTAAACTCTTAATAAAGAATCCTCCTCGACCGACGCCCTGGGGCTGCAGGACGCGCTTGCAGTCGGCGATGCACTCGGTGAAGTTATTGAGGCCAAGCTCTGCCTTTAGGTGTCTTAGGGTTCTGTCTTAGAGCTCGTTACATAAGGTTTCTAGAGTCTTCAAGAAGTGCGTGTGGAAAATACAAAAATGGCCAAGGTTTTGAAAGTACGGGTTGAAGAGGGGTTCAGTCTTGGAGCTCGTTAAGGGTTCTATAAGACTAAGTTGTCAAAATTAGGGTCCCTTTTGGGGTACCCTGAATAATCGGTGCCGTATTGTATTAGGGACCCAAAAGGGGACCACCCATAAGTCTTCATTAAGTGCTTGTGGTTCCTGCAAAAATGGCTTAGGGTTTGTAAGTACGGGTTGAAGAGGGGTTCGTGAAGGGATCTGCAAAGGTTCGCGGGTTCTTGAAGGCTTCACTAGGTGTGGTACGAGGCTTCTACAAGTGCGGTGCACTTCTAAAGGGTTTAAGGTTTAAGGGCTCTGTGCTGGCAGTAATCTCTTGGACCTTTCTTCCAGGAACCCTGCTAAGGCCAAGGTGTACATATACTATTTCAGTACATGGACCCCTTTCAATCCCGTAGGCATCCTTTTGCAAACTACTATTGTGCCCAATCTCAACTCCATCGAAGCCACAAGTGGCAGAATGGAAGCTTTATGGTCCAAGAGTTAAGGAATATGCCCCAAACTGACCAGAAGATGACCCGCCCTCTACAGTTTACAGCATATGCCCCAAGACTAGCTTCGACTCGCGCGACTGCCGATCTGGCCTGCGCCCTGCGGAAGAGCGCCTTAAGGTTGCCTTTCTGCTGTCCCAGGACCTAAGGTGCAGGTGTAATTTAAGATAGTTGGGGTTTCAAGGTCTGTTTTGGTATCATCATGAGGCATGTTGGTTTAGGTAAGTTTAGGTCCTGTTTAGGTGTTAGCGATTTAAGCTTTAGGGTATGGCAAACGTCCACCTGTCTAACTTGGGTTTTAATATTTAGGGGGGTTGACGCACCCAACATCGTGAAAAAAAAATCCCGAAAGATCAACTACACGCTGAATCCTGAAGCCTACAGAAGTTGCCGAGCGGCTTGCTCGCAAGCAGCCTTGGCTTCTTTGAAGCACTGAAGCTTCAGTAGACCTTCGAAGGGGTCTCGCTGATTTCTAGGGTTCAGGGTTGTGTAGGGATTAGGGCCTCGGAATGATGTCGATATCATCTGCTTAGGAGTTGCGGGTGGGCACATAAAAGGAATTAGGAGGTGTCCATTGTAGTGGTTGGTATAAACCAAATACATATATATATATATATATATACACATACATATACTATATGTATGTACGTGTGTGTGCAGATATTAATATATATATATATATATATATATATATATATATATATATACATATGCATGTATTGCTGTATTGCTGTATTGCTTTAGAGTGCGTTTTCACGGGTCCTGCAAGGCTACATCCCGAAATATCCACAGCTGAGCCCTCAATGACGGGTAGTCGTACGTTTACCATGCACAAGCCCTGAACTAAACCGACAACTCCAAAAATCCTAACCCTTAAGCCCCTAGCCCCTAAACCCTAACCACTAAACCCTCTCTCTCGCTCAGGCATTCGAAACGTCAAGCCCGGCCGTAGGACACAGACTAAACCCTAACCCCTGAAACCTAAAACCCTAGAGACCCTAAACCCTAAACCCCTAACCCCTAAACACCACACCCAACCCCTAAACCAACCCCTGAACCCTAAACCGCTAACCCCTAAAACCTAAGTGAAACTAAGTTGACCGAGAGGCAGGCGGCAGAGTTGAGCTCACAGGTGAGTTTTAGGGTCTCTGCACTGCCTTGGCTAGGCTTTGGGAGTTATACACTAGGATTCAGTCTAGGGGTCTGGGTTTTAGGGCTTAGGAGTTAGGATAAATATGAATCAGGGCTTTTAAGGTTTTGGGGTTACGGCTCAGTTTAGGCTAGGGTTTTAGGGTTTAGTTGTGCGTGCCTTTCGGAACTGTGGACTTTGAGTTGCAGCAAGAGGGTTACAGCGGAAAAATCTACTGCTGGGATCTGCTGGGGTTCAGGCCCTCTGAACCCTCAGCTCTGCCCTAAACTCTGACCCCGAACTCAACCTCAACCCTTATCCTCTTCGTGTGACCTTCGTTTGCCAGCTGACTTAAAGTGGCGGCTGCCGGAGTCTACAGCACTGGATTGCGAATTACACCTTGGTTTCTGGAGAAGCTTGAAACGATGCTGGGCTCAGTGTGGTATCAATACACAAGGCCACTATACCCTTGAACATGCACAACTTCAACGCAGACTTCAAAATGCACAGGGTGAACGTTACGATTCAGGGGCTGGCAACACTCGCCAGCAAAGAACAGGACGGCAGTTTGGGCACTTCCTGCAGCCTCCCCTCGACATGCTACCAAAAGACCGTCTGGTGCTTAGTAGGGAATGGGGGAATGGGTTATGGGGACCATTCTTGATGATTGTATACTGTAGGGACTACTACAAGGATCCGTTCCCCCATTCCCTACTATAACCACCAGACAGACGAGTCTTCATTTTAGTTCCCCGTTTCGGGATGCATTACAGGATGCCAAGCATCAAAGTGGGAACAACAACAGAAACTATGGGTAGTACCTTTATGGAATGCGAAGTATAAAATAGTGGGAACAACGAAAAGAGACTATGGGCAGTACAACCGCGGGAGGCTCTATCAGCAGCAGAGGTGCTCCGGGCATCGCCCTGCAGCTCTGAGACCACCACGTAGCTCAACATATCCTGAGGCATCAGCATTAAACGGCAGGGGTGTGGGGCCTATGATTTCCTGAAGAGGGTCTGAAGCATCGACTCAACGGGCTCTTCTTGCCTCCTATTCGCAAGGACAAGAATTGACCTCCCCAAGACAAGAAGGACACCCTGCCAATTTGTCAAAACGTGTCAGCAATCCTTTGGATGCGTCTTTCCAACAGTATATAGTGGACCATTGTGGCGAAGGTTCCTCTCGACTCAAGCATCTGATTATTCCATGAAGCGCATGCCCTGAACAGCAGGTGCAAGTTGCAAGGCAATTATCCCTTTGGGTGAATCGTGAACTAAGTGCTGCTCTCACACGATCAGCATCTTCTTAGCTGTGGCGGTTAATCGAGGAAGTGTACCAAGGGTTTAGGTTTCCAGGGTTAGGCTTCTGTCTGGCGCTGATGCTCTGTCGAGCTGCAGAGGACCCTCCTGCATGAGACTTTGGTGTATATTATACGGAGTCCCTCAACCCGGAAGGAATAGTGTCCGAATTCTTCGGACTGCACTAAACATATTGGGGAAAAATATTTTTCCCCAATATGAATAGTGTCCGAATTCTTCGGACTGATATCTTCATGAAGCCACAAAACCCTAAACCCTAAACCCTAAACTTCCGTCGCCGGGGCTCTGACACCGCCTGGTAGCTTCTTGCAGCCATGGCCCATCGCTGGGCCTTGAACCTGGGGGTTTGGGAGCTTAAGGGTTAGGAACTAGGGTTGAAAACAGCGTTTGTAGAAGGTTGTTCCTAGAAGGGGTCTCTTACGTGGATTTCAGGATCTAGGAGTTTAAGGTTCCAAGTATGTTTGTTCATGTTTCAGTTGGGTTTCAAGGGTGGTGTATGGGCATAGAGACCTTCCGGCTCTATCTAGCTTGTCTTTTCCCTGCTGTTCTGTTGAACCACGGTCCGATTGAGGAACCCTATATGGTTCTGCTCTTTCTACGGCAATTTTGACGACCACCCATAATATGGCTAGCTTGCTATCCGTACAGGAATGATTCCGCGAAAAGTCGGCATGCACTGCTGAACTCCATAGCATCAAACCTCAACGAGGATACCCTTTCTACCAGACCCCCTCGCAACCTTTTCTGTTGAGGACCTGTCTGTGCCAGCAGGGCCAGACATAAAGCCAAGCTCTTGTACAAAATGTTCAATCTAGTGCCAGGATTACGGCGGAAAGACGCACTACATAACACTTTTCCTGTCCCCAAACATACAATTCTAGCTCAACTCCTGGCATCGCAGATTCAATGCTAGGAGGCTGCAGGGCTTTGAGGATTTCGACTCGCAGGAATGGTGTAGTCTTGCTTGAAGTACCGCTTTTCTGATTACGACTGTTTTCAGGATTGTTGTTATGATTTTTTGGAGTGCTGACCAAGCAACAGCTTTGTTCCCGTCTCCTTCTTGGCAGCAGCGCGCTCCATCTTCCTGAGACAGGCCCGTCTGCAAACCAAGGACTCAGGGGCCAGAACTAAGGATTCAGTGGCAGCCTAAACCCTAAACCGTTGAACCCCAAACCGTGGTGGCTTGGGGATCGTACTGACCAGGAACCAAAGCCCTACACGCTGGGCACACATCCTCAAGACCCGGCAGCCTGCCGGGACAGGCCGGGCTGCGGGTCCGAGTTCCTACGAAGTTCTACGACCCAACCTCGAAACCCCAGCATCCTAGGGAATCGGGGTTTGTCTTATAGGGCCTTTAGGGACGATCAAAACATCCGAAGCTTAAAGATCCCGGATGTCCTCTTTCAGAACCCCAAAACACAACCCCAACATTTTGAGGCAAAGCAAGCCAAGCCTAAACCCTAAACCCTGAACCCCAAACCCTAAACCCTTTTTGAGCAGGGACTGCAATGAACCCAAACCCATAACCCCGAAAGCCCTTTTTGCCACCGGGCTCAAGTACAGACCGGAGACCCTCAAACCGTCTTGCATCCAGGCCTATTGTGACTGCCGGGTACCCTGAAGAAAGAGGAAACACACACAAGACAGAAAACCCTGAAGCCCATAAACCCCAAGTCCTAAAACTTCGAGAACTTAAGCCAGGCGACTCCTCTGGCGACAGGCTGAAGCTGTGCTTCGCCGGCTCGAAATCTTCCAAGACCTCCCCAGGACAAGCGTCATTGTTATCATAGGCACATATAAATTCTAAAGGTAGACACATATTCCATACATTCTGTGTATACAGCACCAGCAGCAGTAGTAGGGCGGATCAGGGCGGCGTAGGGTTTAGATTTGATTAGGATGGCGCCCTCGAGGCTTTTACACAGGGCTTCGGGTCCTTTGAAGTTCGCAGTTCGCTGCTCCCTTCTCGCTGCAGAAGGCAGCACCATCTCTCGGAAGCACCCTCGCTCTAGATTCACAAACCAATCCAAAACGGCTCAAGTTTACGGCTTAGGGAATTCCAGAGCCAAGTCAATTCGGCAGAACGGTCAACCAAGCGGATGGACCGTCTGCAAACACCATCAAACCATGGAACATGGTGTGGGCAATCCCTTCCCCTCCCCTGCCAGCGTCAGCAGCAGCTCCTCAACATCCTGAGTCGCCGCTTATGATTTGTTGGCGGCTTCGCTCCGAGACTCTCTTGCCGCATAATCCTGTATCTACAGAGTACTACAGGCCACAGCACATCACAGAGACGGGCCGTCTCCAGCAGAAGGGCTATCTACCTCGTAACCTGGACAAGCTCATAGCAGCCGAGGCCGAACAGAACCTCGCCGAGGCGTCCGCCAAGGTTCTAAAGCAAGAGCTTCAAAATTGTAAGTGAAGGGCAGTCTAGATGGTAGTATCTCAAGACACGAATACGAAATCTGTAGAAAACACTCCATAACATTGTGGAAACACTCTAGCGAAACCTTTACAACACCCTTTAAAAACCCTCATACAACCGTTCAGCATTCCAGAAAACCTTGGGCAACCGCTCTAAATCCCTTTAAACCCTCACAAAAACCTGTTACCCCAGAAACAACAACCATCCTCAAGATAATCCGAGCCAGGTCGCCAGGTTCGCCAAACCCAGCCGCGGCTCCGCTGCCTGCGCTGGGTGCAGCACCCGTAGAATCGCCTTAGATGGGATTCAGCAAGAGGATTCTTGACGATTCCTGGGTTTTTTCGAAGGCTATTTACTAGGGCATCTTGGACAAAGGACTGTTTCTTTCTTGAGGTTTTGGAGGGTCTAGGGCATCTGGTCTTTCGGGTCCCTAAGATGTCCTGTACAGCGGATTGGAGCTTAAGTGTTTGTGTACGGATTAGGAATGTTCGGAATTTAAGTTAAAGTTATTGTGGAAGTCTTTTGTACCTGACAGCAGGATTTCTGTCGCCACAGCAATTACAATTCATGTTGCCGTCCGTCCACCCTATAATAAAACCCTAGTAGGCCATAATAGATAAACGATACAAAAAACCATAATAAGCCTCATCCGAAACCCTAAACCCTAAACCCCTAAACCCTAAGCCCGGACCCAAGCCCCTCCGCAATGCACACCTTCTCCTCCTTCTTCATGTCTGCAACGCAGAGCTCCAATGCGTCAGCAACTTCACCTTCGCCAGCCACGAACTCCAGAACCTCAGGGCTGGTATGTAGGGTGTATCATAGGGATCCTTAGGGGTGTAGGGGGAGGGGGGGTAGGGGGGCCTTAAGGCCCATAATAAGGACTAATAAGGCCTATTTACGGAAATATAGTCCCCTACACCCCTCCCCCCTACACCCCGAAGGATCCCTATGATATGTAGGGTGTACCCTAAGGCCCCAAAGTAGTTCCTTTTGGGGATTCCCTTATAGGGTTCTATACACGAACCCGAAAAAGGAACTACTTTGGGGTTTTCGGGCACCTCAGCCCGGAAGAACCCTGCATTTTTAAGGACGTATCAAAGGAAATCATAATAAGGAACCCTAAAAAGGTAAGCTATTCAGGGTTAAGGTAGGGTTTAGGGTTGTTCGGAGTCTCGGGTTTTAGTGGCATTTCGGCTCCGGTTGGCAATTGTGGCTTACCTTCGTGCGAGATCGAGAAGTGATTCTTGAGCTGGTGCACTCCGTCCTAGCTGTAACCATGGAAGTACCAAAGCACCCTCTGCCTACCGGGCGATCGAGTGCGCCATGCGGTTCTGACTATTGCTCATTCCACAACGGGCTTGTGGATGCCGGGAGTGACTCTGGACGGAGACAAGTGGTCAGCTGCTTCTGTACGAAGAAAGGACTAGAATTCTATGCGACACTGTAGCTAAGAAGCTAAACGAAACACTTAAGCTCCCTGCGAAATCCTGTCACTCGCAAAATTCCAGCTGCAATGTCCGCATCCAGGTAGAACATCTTCAGGTGTAGTCATCTACTCATCTAATTCCCCCTAAACAGACCCCAATATAGATCTTAAACCCTACAATCCTTTTTATCAGGACCCTGCCCAAGTCCCACCCGCCTGTGGCTGGAAAGATGGAATGGCAGTCTTCGAGGCATCCAGGGCCTCCTCCACACGAAGCTTCACACTGCTGCCATCCTCGGAAAGTCAGGGTTGCAAGTTCCATAGGGTATAGGGGTGCCATAATAACCTTCGAGTTGTGTATGCGTTCTATAAGAGTTCTGCATGGGCTGTTCTAAGAAATACTTTAACGGTCACTCTGTATAGGAGCTCCGAGGGTTCATGGTTTAGGTTTGAGGGTTCATGGTTTCAGTTTGCGAAACAATGTTAGATGATGGACGCTGTAAAGGGCTTGGAGGACGACATCTGCAGATATTTTAGCAAGGAGTTCTACCACCAGTCCTCTCTATACTTGGGCTGTGTTTCGGGGAAGCTGAGTGAGGTGCTTGGATACTGCCGCGATGCCTGTTGATGTTGCTTGTTCCTCAAACCCATATCGGCTCTGATGACTAAACCTTGAACCCTAAGTCCTAAACTGAAAAAAGCGCGGCACTAGTCCAGTAGAAACCCATCTGCACACCAAGCGTCCTTGCACATCTCATAGCCCTGCCCTTCGACCACTTGCTTCTTCAGTAGAGTCTTCTCCTTCTTGTAGGAAATGTCCTGACTTAGGGCTTCTAGGAAATATCCTGGTTTAGGGCTTCTTGGAAATGGACCGGTTTAGGGTTGCGGGGGATTTGGGCTTGAAGGTTAGGATGTAGGGCCTGGGTTGATTTAAGGAATTGTGCGTGCTGCCTGTGCTTGTGATGGAAAAGGTTCCACCATCTCGTGGCTTACCTGGTTCAGGACAGGCTGCCGACCACCTCAAGGCATGCCGCAAGAAGCTCACCTATGCAGCACCTGTCAGCATACGCAAAACGCTCACAATTATAGTATGAAGTGACATGTAAGAGCAACACTTCTTTTCGCAATCAAAGAGAAAATTAATGTATAATAGTAACACGTTTTTCTTGTTTCTGTTAGCAATAGTAACATTAACAGCAATCGCAATCTTAGTTTGATACCAACAGGTAGGATGGTCATGATAATGATAATGACCAAAATAAGACTAATAACGTCTACCTCACCCTCATCGGCCCTAAACCAGAACTCTTTCAGCTCTAAACCTTTAGCAAAGGATCCTTGGTCTCGTAGATCTGATGCAGGGTGAGCGTGCCAGTCAACTCCTGAGGCTCTGCACCGCAGTCGAAAGTCTTCGCGAAGTGCAGAGTGACGATCTCGTCCCTCTTCCTGGTAGACGTTTCGGGTTGGGTGTGGGGGTTTATGACGGTTGATGTGGGCTTTTTCGCACCTACATCGCATGTATAGAGGCTGAAAAGGCTCAGGGGTGATTGGGGGCTCTCCCGTCTGCCGCTGTGATTCACGAGAAAACCTGTGCATCTTAACTGTGGCAAGCCTTCAAAAACCCTAAGCCCAAAGCCTTTAAATGCAAGTATCAATCTGTCTTCGTCCGAGTGCCACCCCTGCTTAAAAGATCGCCGGTCTTAGAAAAAAGTTGTGTTAAAAGGATCCCAATCAAGCTCATTACAACCGCAATCGTTAAGCCCACTGACCCTCCAAATAGTCCGCTTGTTCACTGGCACAATTGAAAAATCTTGCATGTCAAGGTATTGTAGAGGCCTGAATAATTATCTAGATTATTTTGGGGTTCCTTATTAGAAAGCATGGTATGCCCCAAACCCCTATTCTGATCATTAAAGCCCGTATGTTAACACAACCCACCAGGTGGCCCTGTTAACCCTAAACCCCTAAACTGGCCCCTAAACCCTACCGTATAAAACTAGCCCAGCATCATTGAAACGAGGGAGCGGTCGACGGCTTTGGACCAAGGGCCCAGGAGGTCAGAGCCAAGGACGTACTCCAGGGACCCGGCTTCGTAAAAGGTGGTCCCATCGCTTTTCTCGACTTTCCTGAATTCTTTGTGAAGGAACGTAAGAAAAGGTACCGGGATAAGGAAGCCATCTTGTTGATTAACAAGCCCAGAGCCTGGCAGCATACTTACGTCGAATCCTTATCCCATGTCGCAACAGTAAAGGAGTTGATGTAAGGTATATTTCATAATTCGGGCATATTGGGCTATGTGGGAACAAGAGCCCAGCTGCAAAGAGATGTAGACTTCATCCCGCATCCTCGCCATCTTCCAGCCAGATCCCTCCAGGACCACCGTCTTGATGATCGTTCCATCTGAAAACCTGGCTTCTTATGAAAGGAACTTAGTATATATAGATACCTTTGTGTACATAGGTATGCATGCATGCATATATACATAAATCTTATGTAGGTCGTGCAACCGCAATTTAAGAAACTCCGTACCAAGTGCAAAGAAACAAGTCGACCCGCGGCATCCATCTGACCAGTTCGATCTCATAGGTCACAGTAGAGTTCGGCGGCACCTTCTCCGTGCCATCCGAACCGTAAGCAAACTCCGGTGCCACCTTAAACTTGGCGACTTCTCCTTTCCTCATGGGTGGTTGTCAAAATCATGGCCCCTTTTGAGTTCCCTAATATGATACGACACCTACTATTTAAGGTACCCAAAAAGGGACCCTAATTTTGACAACCAGCCTCATGGTAGGGATCCCAAACTGCCATGCTCTGACGGCTTTCTCCTCCTCTCCCAGGATGAAGGTGAAGGGCTCTTTGTCCCGGGTGGAGTCGAACCTCGGATCGCGGCTGGCCCAGTCACATTCATACTATCAACTGAAGTAACTGAAGCCCCAGAAAAGAAAACAACACATGGGCGTTTCCGGGGATCCTAATATAGTATTCTAAACAGTAGGATCCTTATTATAGGGACCCCTGATTTTCGGAAACTCCCATATCTTAAAGGCCTGCCTAGGAACTCATCCCCAGACTCCAGCGTCCCTGTGTAATGCACCGTGACCTCATCGCCCTTGCGAGGCTTGGCCCACTCGGAGGTGGGAGCTTCGCTCAAGATCTCTTTCTGGACACCTGGGGCTCTCAAGCTTTCTATAAGGGTCTCTTGAGGGTTACTATAAGAGTTGATGCATGTTGATGTGGGGTTTCTGCTTCTTCTGTCCACCCACAACTCCAGCTGACCGAACAGAGCCGCTGGCAGCGCGCGCAAATGAAGGACACGCCAGTCACCGACTAATAAACAGCACAAATACAATCGACACTCCCGCCAGATCTCGTTGTGATGACAGAAAAACCACGGCAACATTGGTGTCACACATCGGGGAATGCCAATCCTGCTGAGAGCACCACTGGAAAATGCCGTTCTCAATAATGAAAGTGAATATGGAGCGAAACGCCATGCTTTCATAAAGGTCAGTTAGCAGCTACATGCAACGAAGGCATCAACCTCATCATCGTGTTGGCCTTCGCCATCGTTTCATCATCTAAGCTCATATCCATCCTCTTCAGCACGACTCCAAGAGCTCGCCTTCGGGAAGGGGGAAGTCCACCCCATCGTCCGAGCCATCTTCGAAGCCTCCACCGAGCCTGGGCTCTCTTAGAAGCTGCCCCCACCCTGTAACAGTGACTATAAGGAAAAAGTAGGGCCCTATTATATTCCTATTAGACCACTATTACAGGGTGGGGGCAGCTTCTAAGGCATTTCATTCAAAGTTACGGGATCATAATAAGGAACCCCTGCTATTTGCTCTAGATCCCCACGTAGTATGGCAACTTAAACCTTAAGCCCAATGCCCTTAAAGGAACCCTTACAGATCCCTGAAAGGAGCCCTAAAATAACTTAAGCTAAGTCCCTTAAGAAGAGCACAGGAGCTCGTCCAGCGGGTAAGCGTCCGTCGCCATTGCAAAACTGAGCCGCCCTCCAAAGAGGCAGACGACCCTTGAGCCGAAAACATGAAGCCAACTCCCCTGCCCCCCCGATGCGTCCTGCCTGCTGCAAACAAGAATACCAGAATATACCCAAAGTAATAACCTTCATAAACATTGTATAGTACCAACTCTACTTGCCGGTGGTCTGAGATCTGGAGCTTCCGGGCATGTCAGAGGAGAGCCAAGGCCACAGCTGATCGAGGTACTCTCGCTTCTTGTTGTTCTCGTTCTTCAAGAGGTCGATCCTTGCACAAACTCGCAGCACCCGCAACAAAGCAAAGATACCGGCTGTGAGGTTGGGGGGTCGGCTACGGAGGCTCGGCTCAACATCCGACGTACACAGATCCCTCAACTCCGAAAACACTGTCGCCTTGCGATGTTCTATCCCAACGCCTGTCGCTAGGCACTCTCTGGTCACTATCACGTGCCCTGCAAACGTTTGAAGCTCTGGAATGCCCCAAAGTAGTTCCTTTTTAGGGTTCATATATAGAATCCTATGAGGTAATCCCAAAAAGGAACTACTTTGGGGCCTCTGGGTAGGCCTTCGCTTCCGTCTTGCCAACATGTCATTCCTGTTTTGGTGTTGCAGGCTTTGGGGCATGTGGGGGGGGGGGTGCGGGCCGACAACAAGGCTTGACGAGCCGGTACACGAAAGCAGCCTTTGCTGCTGTTAAAGTTGCCTGTAAGCTTGAAATACCTGTAGCAAGAAGCTGCAGCCTTGACCGAAACCTTAAATCCTGAACAAACCCTAAACCCTAAACCCTAAACCCTAAACCCTAAAACCCTAAACCCAGACCCTGCATCCGTAGCAGGCCTTCTCTGCAGATTCTGGACCTGGGCTCTCGAGGCTCTGGGGTCTATGGGGCCGCCCGAATGACAAGGAACGGGGGCACACCAGCACTCGCATGCATTAGGTACGGCCCCCATTCAGTAAGAGTAAGAGTCTATAATAATAGGGCTACTGTAAGGTCCTACTATATCTGTATTATGAATATTATTCAACTATTACTGAGCGGGGGCCGTACTCAAAGCATGCACATCTCGTTTCGTCACCGCCATCAAACCATTTCCTGCGATTCCTGCTTTGCTCGCCGTTAACATGTCTACTCATGTATCCGGGCCACTACGCCTAAGGCCTAAGCCATGCCGCGACATCCAAAAGCCCCAACAAACAATGGTTTCGGGGGTTCCTTATTAAAGTTATAGGTAGTATTCTATTCTAAACCTTCAAGACTACAGTAGATCTGCTGGAAGCCGGGGCCTTCGATCTACCCTGCATGAATGAACAAGTCTTATGGCCTGCGCAACCTCAGACGGTTGCGGGGAGTGCAAAGGAGATTTGCGGATTAGGTTTTCTTCGATTTGGAAAGTTTGGGGTGCCTTTATTCTCTTGGGGCTGCTCTGTCTTTGTGCTAGGCGCGTGGGTCTGTTTTCCTTTATGACTCCATTCATGTGGTCAAGTCCCTGGGGCCCTGGAGAACTGATTCGTCGATGCAGCCCGTACGAACAGCCGTACGACGGCACACACAACTCTTGCTACAACTTCGAAGAGCACATACCAGCAGCAGTGACATCACACATGCAATGAACGACAAAGCGCGGCTGCTGGCTCCAATCAAAACGGCCGAGAGATCCTGAGAGCAACTGATACATGAACATCGTGCAGGAAGGCTGCTTCAGTCATCGTCTTCTCCTCAGTCACAGTTCGCACAGAAGACGAAGTCAGAGGCATAGAAAGTGACATCGAACCTCCGAACACCTCTATCGGGGCTTGAGACCCTGATTTGGATATAGGATCAAATCATCGAAAGCACCATAAACGGGCTTAAAGCTTATGGCCATATGGCAACAAACCCCGGAGCCCATGAACTGCAAACTCGAGACCGTATAAGCCGAAACCCTACCCAGAGGCCCATAGTAGTTCTTTTTTGGGGTTCATATATAGTATCCCATCCGAAAAAGGAACTATATACTATGGGGCCTCTGGGTAGAAGGCAAGGCAGGCAGGTTTCGAGAGACTTCTCCAGGGACTCGGGCTTCTCAATGCGGATCTCTGCGATTTGATTCCTGTGCCCAGTGCTCTCATTAAATTCCTACGACTTAGGACTTTTTTAGCAGTCTATTAGTCTAATTCCGTACTGTTACTATTGCAGAAGATTCTGTGATTGACACGCGCGCCGAAGCACCCCTTTAATGGAGCCCTCGTGCAATTCTACGGGTAGGTCCGGCGCTTTCGGAGTTCTTGCTGGAGTTTGGGTGGGCTTGCGTGAGAAGCTGCAGGAAACAGGCAGAGGGTTTATATCTTTTGCTCTGAGGCCAAGTCTGGCTACACAGGAAGTCGCGTTTCCTGTCGAGACCATGTTTCCCGTTGTCGGCCCCACCCCTTTCTCTCTCTTCTCTCTCTCTCTCTCTCTCTCTCTCTCTCTCTCTCTCTCTCTCTCTCTCTCTCTCTCTCTCTCTCTCTCTCTCTCTCTCTCTGTCTCTCTCATCTCTCCTCTTCCTTCTCTCTCTCTCTTCGCTCTCTCTCTCTCTCTCTCTTCTCTCTCTCTCTCTCTCTCTCTCTCTCTCTCTCTCGTCTCTCTCTCTCTCTTCTCTCTCTCTCTCTCTCTCTCTCTCTCTCTCTCTCTCTCTCTCTCTCTCTTCTCTCTCTCTCTCTCTCTCTCTCTCTCTCTCTCTCTCTCTCTCTCTCTCTCTCTCTCTCTCTCTGTCTCTCTCTCTCTCTCTCTCTTCTCTCTCTCTCTCTCTCTCTCTCTCTCTCTTTCTCTCTCTCTCGCTCTCCAACAGCTGCAAATGGTAGCTCGATATGACCCGATGCAAATCTAACGTAAGAACCAAAAACAAGATACAAGTGCTATGGACACCCTCAACAAAGCCCAGGTTTTGCAACGAGCAAAGCCCTGTCTGCCTCAGCGTTTTGTTTTCCTCCTTCATCTGGGTGATGATCTCCTGACCAGGGAGGTGGAATAGCAAGAAGGCCGAAACCTGCAACGTATACTCTCTGAAGAGGCTCGTTCTTGCAGAGTCGAAGGAATGTACTTCGGCGCTATGGTGCAATGTTGGATGCTGTCATGCGCATGGCGCGGGCGCGGGGTCGTACGTCATCGCTGGCCCTCGGAGTTCAGCTTCTCTTCTCTTCGAGTTTCGCGGCCCACGTTCGAGCTTCCTGAGGGAACAAAGGATTGACCTCTGGATTGCACATGAACTATATTGCAACACCCAAAAAGCTACAGGTTACTTACCAAACTAAACTGATATAGGCTGGTACGCCAACGACGACGACTACTGCTACTTACTACGGCGACGACGACTACTCCTATAGGACTATGTAGAGCCTGACTAGCACTAGGACTACCACCACTACCACTGCTACGATATGTGGGTTTCCGAAAATAGGGGACCCTAATATAGTACCCTAAATAGTAGGATCCTTATTACAAGGACCCCCATGTAAGGTACCCCTAATTTTCGGAGACTCCCATATCGAAACCTCAGCTCTCTCTGTTCAGGGACTCCTTGTTCTGCTGGATGTTCAGCTTGGCCGTCTCGTATGTTGCCTGCCAAGGCTTACCTTTGGTTAGTAGGGAATGGAAGAATGGTAGTAATAGTAGCTATAACTGTACCCCATTCCTCCATTCCCTACTATCCAAAGGTAAGAAGGTCGGAGTCTGGCTTCGGAGCTTTGGGTTTAGCTCAGTGAGGATTTAGGGTCCTGATTTTACTTACAAGAACCCTGAGTCCAAACTCCCCAACCTGGATCCTAATAAGGCATCCATGATCCGCAAATGCCCACGCCAGTTGCAAGTCCTTCCCCGTTCACCCCAAATCAATCGGAAGAACAAGTGGGAAAGCACCTTGCGCTCGCCCTCCAAGAGCGTGAAACGCCTTTGCAGGTCCTCAAGCTGCTCCTCCGGACCTCACTTTTCCGGGAACTGGACTTGTTTGAAGGTGCGGTGCTGCCTCGGGACGTTTAGCATCGTTTAGTATTCAGGTCGACGAATTTCTAGTGCAAGGTTAGGTGTTGTAGACTGTAGGGGCATCAAAGGGGGGAGCCATACCAACCCGTGCACCCAACACCCAACACCCTCGAAGCCGATGAATTAAACCCTCAAATCCTCAGCACCAGCTAACCCTTGACCCCAACCCCAAGACCGATGAAAACACTGTCAACCCTGAATGCCTCGCCAAGCCATACCAAACCCCCTATCAACCCTCAACCCTCAGCTCTAAACGGAATTCTAAACTAAATCCCCCGTGATTGCATGACCCCTGATCAATGAAGCCCTCCTTCCAATTACGGATTACAGAAAATCCTCGTCTTCGGACCAGTACAGAAGGAGGCTTCTTATAGGGGCCTTAATAATTAGATTGGAGTGTTGGGGTCCATTATACTATAAATATAACAATGAGCCCCCAAAATAGTGTAGGTAATGATTAAGGCCCCTATATTACTCATCAGGGGTCCACTTTACACGCCAACGGCCTAAAACCCCTCAAGCCCCAAAGCGAGCGCCCACGACTCTCCCAACCGTAACCTTAAACCCTAAGCCCTAACACCCTTGACCCCTAAACCCAAACCATTCAATCCTAAATGCTAGAGCCCTTAAACCCTTTTGCATCCAGCCTGCAACGCCTCTGCTGGGAAGTAAATGAGCGACCAAACCCTAAATCCCTAAACCATGCAACCCTGAAGTCCCAAAGCGAGTGCCCAGGGCCCACGAGTCTCGCGCTCATGGCGTTCTTGGTCTTGTCCATCGGATCCCTTCCTGACGGAATGTTGCGGCCACGGGTTTCTGAGGGTTTAGGGTTTCAATTCTTCTATATACTGAGCGCAAAAAGAAGAACAAGACTCTCCCCAAATCGGTACCTAGCTGCTAGCTTAGGTTTTTGGAGTGGCCGTTCTGCTGAGGATTTCGGGTCGAGGGCTTAGCGCTTAGTTGCTGAGTTCATAAGACCGGAAAAAGTGCACACTTTCAGTTTTATGGTGGGTAATCTTATCCCCAAAAGTGTAAAAGTGCATCCACTCAGCTACTACTGCTGATGATATAATGATATAAATCCTGCATTACCCATAGTAAGGAATATACCATAGCTCCCACAGTTTAGGGTCCTGAAGGTGAATGCAGGATTTATATCCCTAAACCCTAAACCCCTACAGATCCCTTAAAAGAGCCCCTTAAAGGTACCCCTATAGATCCCTTTAAAGGAACCCTAGGATTTAGATCATCCACCCTAGGACAGCAGGTTTGGAACCTGAGGCCCCGACAAGCCCACAAGGCCCTCAACTCTCAGACAAGCAGGGCTTGGGTACGGCCCCCTTTTTAGTAATAGTCTATAGTAAGGCTACGATTAAGATCCTCATATATCTCTATAGTAGGGCTACGATTAAGATCCTCATATATCTCTATAGTAGGGCTACTATTAAGATCCTCATATATCTATGTTATGAGTATTATTCAACTATTACTGAGTGGGGGCCGTACCTAAAGAAGGGCCATCACTTGAAGCCGTGAAGACCCGAAGCATCTAAGCCAAAGAACTTCACCTTAAGGCCCTGCCTGCAACGTAGGAGAACTTGCTCGCCTTTGTGGGTGGGAGGTGTGATTATAAAAAGTATTCGTATTAGTATTAGTATTCGTAGTAGCATTCCTATTCGTATTCGTATTGATATTAGTATTAGTATTAGCATTAGTATTAGTATCAGTAAGCCCTGAACATCAGATTTCGCCCCGAAAGTCCTTGGGATGGCTCCTCCCGGCCAGGCACGTGCGCTCGGGTGCCAAACTTTGAGCCAAACAGCGAGCCAGGTTGGGAGGGATGTATGCCCAGAGACTCCACCTATAGTCTCCATTGTAGTTCCTTCTTTTGGTTAACCCAAATCTCTATTAAATTATAGGGTCCTAACCATAAAATTGGATAACCCAAAAAAGGAACTACAATGGAGACTATAGGCAATGTCCCTTAATTAAGGAATATACCTAAAACATATTAGGGATCCTACTATACTTTAAGGTATATTCCTTAATTAAGGGGTATTGGAGTCTCTAGGTGGAATTTCTTAGTGAATGTGTGGCGGGGGGTCCTTAAAGTTGCTGTGGTGTGGTGTCATATGTTATGCTGGTCTAAGTTTCGAGGATACCAAGAGGGTGAAGGTGCTATACTGTGCTCAGCAGCATTGGCGCTTTGGGAGTAGTCGTCTAGGAGTTCATAGGACCGCAAACAAGATAGAGACCCACCAATAAAGCTGTGTATGGTTCAGCTTTACATAACCCTGTACCCGAAACTCCTAAACCGTGGTTGAACTTTGCGTACTCCTTCGGGTTAACCGGCATACCTTCCTCTTCCGGGAACACAGGAAACGATCCCTGACATAGGGCCCCCAAAAGCACATAAGCAAAACTAAGGATAGGGATATCCCATATACGCCCCCTTATGATGAAGCCCAATAAGGTAGGGATATCCCCACAAAACGCCTATGCTTATGTCCCTTTTGGGGTCCTTATGATACGGAGTTCTCAACCATGTCAAGGCGTTGTTGGAGGGGCCGCTGGGTCCGAAGAGCGGCATCTCCAAGACGTACTGCTCTTAGTATTAACTATTGTATTTTTTGATACGGTCTATCATAGTTGCTATTGTTACTAATGTTATTATTGTTATTTGTATCACTCTCATGCAAAGGTTCGGGGCAGGAGTTCAGGATGTAGGGAGGGACTGGTAGCTTCAGAGCATTTGGGCCTTTGTCAGTCAGCAGCTGACAGTGCATCCTGGAGACAAGTCCGACGGAGTGATTCGTGGAATTACGCGCAGTATCTGATCTCCCCCAGGCAGCGAATCGCACCCTCAACCTCGAAACTCCTCTAAGCATCCATAAGACGAAAAGCCCCGAGCACAGCGGAGCCCTAGAGTCCGAGCCACTACAAACTTACGATGAGCCCGTATATGCCCGTATCTTACGTATATACAACCTTGAAGGAGGACACCTCTCAAACACTAAACCCTAAACCACCTACATACAATTGAAATGAACTCCCTTTGTCGAACCTTGAAGGGGAATGGCGCGCAGACCGAAACCCCGAAGCCCTAAAGCTCAAGCCATGAGCCCTGAAGCCCTAAAGCGGCAAAACAGAACCTGCTTCTGATCCTCGAGCTCGAGGAGCATCTCTCCGAACTTCGCCACCTCTCAACTTTGGGTTTGGGGTCCAGGGTTTAGGATCCTGGTTTGACTGCTCTGTATACGCATTGTATGGGTTTGAAACTTTGGGTTTCAAGCTACTTCACCAGAGCTTTAAAGAAGGCTTGTGTATATAGGGTGCTGTAGGGCTTTATGTAAGGGCTGCATCTGCGGCTTTATAGGCCTTCATACAAAAATCGAGAGATTTCGACCCTCGGCAAGGAGAGGGCCGAAAACGTTCCTCGGACATGGGAGGTGAAACAAAGCTCAAGATTCCCGGGTTTAGGGTTTAGGATTTAAGGTTTAGGATTTAGGGTTTAGGGTTCAGGGTTTAGGGTTTTCGGGGAGAGGGCACGAGCCATCCAGAAAGGGTGGAATAATAATGTATGGCAGCCGCTTCTGTTTCGACTGCTGAACAAAAACTCCACGGCTTGTTGAATCTATTGCAGCAGCTGCATGCACATAATTATGCCTGGCCGGAGTTCCAGGCTGATCATGTAGCCTGGCATGACTGAAGCGACCTGCGCTGATCTGCCCTCGAAGGAGGACTGCGTGTGGCAGGACTCCGACGGCAGACAGTGAGCATAGGACCAAGCTGTGTGGCGTGTCGATCTCCTTCGAAAAGTCCGGGCCGAAGCAGGTCTGGTACGCCACGGCCAACCAGGCTACACAAAATGCAGCCAGGCGAAGCACGGCTACCTGCCAAAGCAGCACTCGAGAAAGGAAGGTGGTGACGTTCAGCACGAGGTTGCCAGGCATGTAGATGCCGAAGCTCACGAGGCACCTGGCCAATCCGGCACCGCGGCCGAGCCCTGTCCAGCCAGCATCATATATATATATATATATATATATATATATAAACAGATAGATAGATAGATAGATGGAGCAAGGCGGTTTCTTGTCGACACAGATGCCTTTCGGCCCAGCTCAAGGTAGTCGACTCGATCGAAGATTCTCCTGCTGTCCAGCTCGTGAAGTCATGCGCATCCTCGAAGCCCGTGGTGAAGCTTTTGTGGTTCGTCTGCACAGTCGCAGACATACCATCGGGCTTCAGCTCCACTGGCCAGTCCTTCCCAGCCATGAAGAGGTGCACGCTTGCAAGGCAAATCTTTTCGCCCTTATCGTAGCTGTCTCTGGTGACGATCCAGTTGCCTGCCTCGTGGAGATGTCCAAGACGCTGGGCACCAGGGCACAGCGGCTGCTGCAGGAGGGGCGGAGTTGGCTTGGAAGGCATGTTTTAAAGAGGCTGGGCTTCTGGACTTCAAGACCCTGATGTGCAGTCCCACAGTCGGACAGTCTACACTGTCGACTGTGCGCCTTAAGAGGCTGGGTTCTGGACTGGGAGCCTGCGCAACACTGACACCTTGTACTCATAGAGCGTTACCTGGCCCTGAATCTATTCCTTCCAGCAGTTTTTGCGGCTTCAGATTTCACTGTCCCACAGTCTCGCGCTTTAGAAGGCGCGGAGGTACAGGGTCAGAGCGGACAGAGTTGTGACACCGGCGAGGCAAGGGAGGCGAGGCCAAGAGAACGATGATCAAGGCAGCTGAGGACATGGGTCGAAGATGTGTTAAGTCCTCGCGCTCGTGGTCATGTGCCAAAAGGGCCGCACAAGCGATGGAAAGGCTAATGCTGGCCCACTTCAGGCCTGCCGAAGCTGGGCTGAGCTCTGGCACACCAGGAGGCTGAGAACGGACTCGAAGCCCTCTACCATCTTCTGTCTGAGCAGCGTCTGCGTCTTCACCCCCGTCGCGCAGCTGTCTCCACGCTCCGTCACCTCACCAAACGTGCCAAAGGTCACAAAGTTCAGCATGGCAACTCCTGGACGTGCTTGCTGCAGAATGACGGACGTGATGCCATTGAAGACCAGGCCGCAGAGAAGGCAAGCCATCCACAAGAAATACTCCCGCTTCACGACATCGACGAAGTTCAGGACATCGAGAATCACATCTGCAAGAGGGAGCGTGGTGTCCTTCACAAGGCCCAGCATTGTGATTCTGCGGCTGGAGGCCGCCTCTAAAAGCCGGAAACAATCACTAAGCTCGACCTTCTCGGAGACGAGCTCGGAGTGGAAATGGACCCGAAGAGCTCCTCGTGACGAACACCCGTCAACAGCAGGGCCTCGACGGGTGTATGCGCCTCTGCCAGGCCTTGATGTGCAGCTGGCATCTCGGCCAAGTGCCAGCACAAGCCCGCCGCAGCTTCCCAGGCGGGGAGCTGTACCCAGAGACCCCGTAGTAGTTCCTTTTTCGGATGACCTTATAAGATACTATATATGAACCCCAAAAGGGAGCTACTATGGCGCCTCTGTATAAGGCTCCATCTTCAGGATGGGCTCGCATTGCTGCGGCTAAGGCCGCTGCCAGGTCGGACTTCGCCCAACCGTCCCTCTGCACCGCCTTGAGGCCCAGCAGCTGCAGAGCAGCATCTTCCGGCATCTTCCTCAGCAGCTCCTCTAAGCTCTCCTCAAGCTCTGAGCCCTCATCCACTTCCGGGCCCTTCTCCTTCCTTCGGAGCGAGAAGCATCCTTTGCACCCTCCTTGGTCACTTCCTCGGCAGTCCGCACTTCAGGGGTCACGACAGCGGCGGAGTGACAGCACGCGGCATGGCGGCTCTTCGCGGGTATCTCACGTCTCCATCTGGGCTTTGCCAAGTCTATCGGCCTATCAGAATTCCCGCAGGACAGGAAGCTGCGGACAGGACAGTGCTTGCAGATTTTTCAGCTCGCATGAACTCAACTTCTCGCCGCAACGAAGCCCCAAAGGCTCCGATGTACTGTTATGGGGGATACTTCCCCAAATCATAATAGTAATTTCTAATATAGAAACCCTACATTCTACTACATCCCCAGGATACTATAAGGGATCTATAAGGGTACTTTGGACCCTTTGGGAGCAGAAGCAAAGCCTCCTGGAAGGGCAAGGTGAAGTTGACGTGTCCTTCGCTGCCAACCGGACTCTGCTCCTCCAAGCCGGGCATGGGGCGAAATAATAATTAGGTAATAATACTATAAAGTAATCATACTATAATAATAAGATTAACAATAATAATACAATAATAGTAATAATAAAACTAATATTACTATAATATTAATAATACTATAATAATAATACTACTATAATGATAATACTATAATAACCCTATTAACTGTAGGGTCCGGGAGCCGAACAGCGCCGGAACAAAACAGGGAATCTGACGACAACGGCGACGGCGACGATGCGGCATGGCAAGGTGGATCATGGTGGTGATGAGGACGGAACGGCTACCGGGACAGGCAAGGAATGCTGCTGCGGCTCATGATGATGATCCGGATAAAGGCGACGCCAGCAAAAGATGATGACGAAGATAACTGATGATAATGGTGCAGCTGGTGGTGGTTGTGACGATGTGCAATGATGGCGGTGATGGTGATGACGCTGCTTTGGAGAAGCAACACATGAAATCATATCAAGATGGTCAGATGAGACTTGCAATCAGGCATGCTTACAGCCAAGATCCAAAAGCCACGCTACTCTCCTGCCACGTCATGGTCATGTTGACGGCCATGATTCGTAGTGGTGAGTCAGGCTGTGGTTCTGTTGAATTCCACAAACAGCGACGATGTTGTTGAACACGGCAACTGGGTAACCACCACCCTCACCAACATATACATCGTCAAGCCCGTCACCGCCATCGCCACTCATCTTGCCACACCGCTTTCACCGCACGCATCAAATTCACACCGAGTGGCAGATCATGATTACGACCGCCTTCGTACTGCCATTGATCCTGGCAGCATCGTCTCCCTGCGCCATCTTCAAAGTCGCTCACCGCTGCATCATCGTCACCGCCACCCAGAACATCCTTCATCCTCTTGTCACGCTCGTCCTCGTCTCTGCGCTCAGGGCTGCGTAGCGTGGCGGAGGCGACGTGCTTTCGGATCAGGCTGCCTGCCGGAGGGTCAAGGCGCAGGCAAAGGCTCCTGCTGTGCTTCGTTACGCTCAAGACCAGGTAAGACGGTAAGACTTGCTCAAGCCAGCGTCTTGGTACTGTAGCTGCCCATGGATCTTATAGAATTTTGTCTTGAACTACTTCCATGAGTGCTTCGCTGCCCCAGGCCCAATGCTTAAATTAACTGCTCCGCTGACTGAACCGAATCGATCCCTGTCCGATTGCTTCTAGGGCTCCTGGCGTTCTGGAAGCTATACGGTCTGAACATCCAGAATCCGCTTGCAGCAAACCTTGCCCTAAGATGCGCAGCCCGTACAGTCAACATACTCCACAATCCCCCCCCCACCAAAAAAACACGCCTCCCAAGCTAGGATGTGGAGCTGCCTTACAAGGACCAAATGATCACTGGGATCCTAGAAACATAGGGATGTTATCTATCAGGACTTGACTATAAGCCCCAAAATTGGCTGATTCAGAATCCTCCTGCCTAGCTGTTTCATCTCCTCAGGCGTGGGGGCTTCAGGCAGAAACGCGACCTGAAGGTTGTAGCCAAGGCCGAACCTGGCATTCTTTGGGAGTTTAGGATTCATGGGGGTTCCGGTTGATAGGGTTTGGGGGGTGGGAAGTGGGAGGCTTCTCGGAATTCACGGTGCTTTGAATGGATTGGTGATATATATATATATATATATATATATATAAGTCTTGACGTTATGCTTTCGCTTTGTGTTGTTCTGGGGATGAACTGCATTTAAGCTTCCTTTCCAGTGCTTGGCAGCTAGTTCTCGCGACATGCGGGGTTTAAGTGAGAAGTAAGTTGGGACCTGAACCGTTGGAGTAACACTTTTGTGGCACATCATATGGACAGTTTGATCTAAGCATAGAAGCGACAGATAGAGAGAGAGAGAGAGAGAGAGAGAGAGAGACAGAGAGAGAGAGAGAGAGAGAAAGAGAGACAAAGCGAGAGACTAACAAAACAATAATAGGTGCGAGCCCAGATGAAAATGAGATAAAAGCCTGAAGGAACGGTGGTGCCATTCCTACGCCTTCCTGGTACAACTACATGAGAAGTGCAGAGAGGAAGGGAGCCTGCTTCAATATGAGGATCCCCAAACAAGGTCCCCTCTCGTAAAATCCCATTTTAGTAGTCCCTCAGAGTAGCCCTCTAGTAACCCGTCCGGATCCTGAGGGAATAAGAAGCCTAAAGCCTTATATACTCGTTTTACACCTGGACTATGCATATGCCAGGAACCGAGGCGCCGACTGTGCTGTGCACTCGTGACACACGGCTACCCCAGGTTGCAAAAACTGATCAACTCTAAACCCTAAACTCCCATCGTGTCTTGAAAGTCTGCTGGCCGACAAGGAGCTGGAGTTTCAGGTCGCGCGACGTGCCAGAAGCTTGTACACGGCCCCTGGCCATAACAGCCTTCCTTCGGATTCTGATTCAAGCTCTCGTGCTTTAGGGTTTAGGGTCTCGTTTCCAGGGTTTACCTATAGCCTCCATCGTAGTTCCTTTTTTTGGTTAACCAAAATCTCTATTATAGGGTCCTAACCATAAAATTGGATAACAAAAAAAAGGAACTACAATGGAGACTATAGGTAATATCTAATTAGGGAGTTCGGTCTAACTTGGGTCTTGGCTGAGTGCAATGACATCTGCATATTAAATAATAGAAAAATTCAACACACTGGTCATGGCCTGCAACTGCTCAGAGTTTGCGGCTTAGTTGCGAAGCCGACATCGGCTTGGCCCACTCTTTGCGAACCCTAACACTGTAACACCAGGAAGCCACCAAAAACCCGTTCTTTCTCTCTCACGGGTGCTCGAAGCACCCAAACCCTTAACCGCAAAATCCGAAACTCACCAATTCTGCTACCCCATGCGGTTGTAATTCCTTGCGAGGTTCTCGTCTTAGATTGAGCTCAGTACGGAAGGCTAGGTCGCCTTTGAGGCAAACGTTTTTGGTGATTTACGGTTCGGGTTTTTGTTTAGGAGAACCTGGGATTTAGGGATCACGCGGGATGATGGTTTATGTCGTTAAAGTCTCTGGACCCACCCGCCAATGCGCAGGGCTCTTAACCAGAAAGTTCATGGGCTATGTGCCACAAAAATGACAGGTCCTGTCTGCCAGGACATCTGCCTCTTCGAGGTAGTGAGTGGTGAAGATGATGGACCTCCCAGTGGACCTCATCTGGAGCAGCAGCTGCCACAGCTGGCGCCTGGATGAGTAGGCCCTTTATATTAGGGTTCAGTTTACCCAAATATGAAATATTTATAGGGACCCTTCAAAAAGTAAGTTTTGGTAATTCGCGGTGAAGGGTGCGGAGAGAGGTGTTGGGACTTGAAGTTCGCAGTCAGGACCGGGGCTTAACAGTTTAACATTCCTTTCCCCATGGACTCAGCAAGCCCTGTGCTGCGGTTTGCACTCTCTCGCTTCGCCGACGAAAGAAAGCGCCAAACCCCTACAAAAAGGATCTTATTAAACCCTAAACCCTGAACGAGATCTTACTCAAACTTTCATACCAAGCTCGGCTTCCTCCACAACCAAACCCAGAAAGTATATTCACCACTATTCAAAGGGAGCCCTACGTCCATTCCCCCAAACCCGAGAACAAACTCTAAAAGCCCTTAGGCAATCCCTCTTGCCACCCATGTAGCACGTCAGCTTATTGCGGAACCCTGAGAGTTAACCCCCTGTGGAAGCCTGAATTCCATCAACCCTTGAAAGAACCCTCTTTCATAGTATCGACCCATTCCAAATTTTGGGTTTAGGGTTTAGGGATTATAACCTTTTAGAACTTGATTTTAGAACCCTTCAGCCCGAAACGGGCTCGACGCCTGGAGGACGGATCCATGCCGCTGGTCGGCTCGTCCAGGAAGACCAAGGGCGTCTCCCCAAGCAGCGCCGTGGCGACCTAAGGTGCTCTTCGTTTTTGGATATGGGTGGTTGTCAAAATTAAGGCCCCTTTTGGGGTACCCTACATGATAGGTGCCGTATTATAATAGGGACCCAAAAAGGGACCCCGATTTTGATAACCACCCAGTTTGGGTTTTGGGTTTTGGGTTTAGGGGCCTTCATAAGGGCATATATAGTAGATACTATCCTTTTGAAGGGGTCTATAAGGGATCTATAGTAGGGTTCTATAATATAGGGGCCTTACAGTAGAAGCCCAAAAGTTGGAAACAGCATAGCCTCAATCCTTAAGAGTATTGTATAGGGAATCCCAGCACTATTTGGCGGTTTCCAACTTTATGGGGTTTACTGCATAAGGTTTAGGGTTTCGGCGGTCACACTCGGACAATGGTTTATAGGGTTTAAACTAATCCAAACCATAAACCCCAAAACCGCAATCCCCAACAAACCCTTCAATTGGGGCCTTATTAATTCGAATAGGAGTGTGGTGGGGTATATTGATGCTAGGACATTGCTTTGGGGACTTTACAAGGCCTTTACAGTTAGAATAAATAGAATAGGGTTGGGCGGTACACACTGATAATTTACATATAGTAGGGACGATAAGCAGACATGATTGCTAGTCCTTCACGATACTTTAGGGGCTAGGTGCTCCGGAGCCAAAGATGGATCCCTAGCAGGGCTGATCCCGATTTATGACGTACAGTGGAAAATGTTCTTGTGGTACCTTGCGGGCAATCCGAAGGTAGCTTCTTTCCCCGTGCAACCGTATAATCATTAGCAGCAGACAGACCAGGCCCCAACATGCTCAGGCAACAGCGCTCACTTTTCCGCGAAGCAGAGGGCGTGGTCACTTTCCCATCAAAATGTCTTCACACCCGAGCCCTTAATAAGTCTACCGGAGCTCACTTCATCGTTGTCCTCCGGTCTGTTCCATTGCGACGTCGATGAGGTCCTCATGGTATACACCACCCTTTTGAACCGGGACCTCTACAAACCCGCTCTTAAACCCAACCCAAAAACCCTACAACCCGTAAAAACCCTATGCGCCCTACACTCATATAGAACCCTGATGCGAGTCCATAGAGAAAATAAACTATATGTATGTATATTATATATATATATATATATGTATTTGTATCTATTTGTAGAACACCCTTATACGAGTCCTAGGCCCCCTCCCGGAGGTCCTCATCCTCAAGTCCTAGCTTCTCGGCCGTGTCATCCGCAGCGATGCGCTCGCCATCCACCATGAAACCTTACTTCAGGCTTTTTCCCTCCTACCTAGCAAGGACGAAGCCCGCATTGCAGGGTAATTTGGTTGAACAGCTGGAAAGGTTCCTGCAACCGCTCCTTGTAAGGGGCTCCTTCTCAGGTCTTCCCTTCAAGTCTTTACAGGGTAAGGGCCATATAGTGCTATCGCATGCCAAAACGAAAAAAGGTGACTTGCTCTACTGTCAAGAGGCGCACTTGGGATGCCTGCAGGCCAAGACGGCTGCAGTATGCATCCATGAGCTTGCGCAAAGGCGTCGTCTTCTTGATCTTGAACTGCACCTGTCTCATTGTACTTAAGGCAGCTTGGCCAGTGCAGAAGATTATCTTGAGTGCTCCGCTTGTGCTGGCGGCATGGCACCGTGCTCATTCTAAACTTGAGCTCATGTCACAAGTACAGATTTTTGCTTGTGCGGCCGTGTCTACGCAGTTCCAGACCGTACTCGGGGGGCGGTGCAGATAAAGTCAGGGCTGCTCCGCTGGAGCGTTCGTGGGGTAAGTAGACTATTGAGCATGGTCTGATACGTGCACTGTCACTGTTGGGGGTCTAGTCTCTGTACAGGCACGGAATTTTGTGTTGAACCCCCACCTCACTTCCCTGCTGATCCTTGACCTTGAGCTGGATGTGCTGAGGTGCGTCTCCGCCTTCTGCCATCGCTGTCACTGGAAGGTTTGGGTCGCAACTTGACGCGTTGGTCTCTTGAGCAAAATCTCGCACGGGTCGGGATGCGGTCATGAAGCAGCCAGAAAAGCTTCAAGATCCTATTCAAAGAGCTCGGGGCAACCTGTGATGGGCTGACAAGGTGCTGGGTGAATGGTGAGTTAACATACACATAATTCAAACAAAAAAACATCACCTTAAAACTTGCGTGCCAAGAAAAACTACCGAGTCGTTCTTTACTTGCGAAATGGACGGAAGATATGAGGCGAAGAAGCTTCTAGAGCACCGGGAAAGACAAGGCGACATTCATAATAGTTCTGCGAGCGACCTCTACTGTACAGAAGCATTTTAATTTTTACGAAGACTAACTCCAAAAGCTTGAACCCCACCCTTCAAAAAGCGGGTTTCCAGGGTTTACGCCCAGGCCCTACGCCTAGAGCCTATAACCCCTTTGAGCCCTATAAACCCTACGAATCCTGTAACTAAACCCTATTATATAACATCTATAAACCCAACAAAAATCGCTAAGCTCCGGAAAGCCCAGCCGCCCAAAGACGGCGCTTCTGCCCTCCCGACAGCGAGGTGCACAACGCGTCGACTTTCTCTGGGATGCCTCGTTTTTGAGAAGGGTTTACAGTAGAAGCCAGAAAGTTGGAATATCATTATCGTAACCCCTTTAAGGTAAATCAAAGGGTATCCTACCCTGAAACCATATTCCAACTTTCTGGAGTTCCCTTTACGCTCTCGCAACTCGGGCAAGCCAGACGAGGTCCATGCGAGGGTTTAGGGGGTTTCGGCGCTCACACTCGGACAGACCAGGCCAGGCATATGGTCCAGGTCTTCTGACGAATCTGAAACCTGCTAATGAGAGCCAGACGTTTAGGGGTTCAGGGTCATAGGGACAAATCGGCATGTTGGAAATGGTGTCTTTGCAGGAGTGAAGGCTTTTCGATTTTGACTGATGTTGTCGCTCTTTTTGTTTGCAGGGTTTCAGGTTTGTATATATGTATATACACACACATAAACGAACATACATATGCATATGCACCAAACTGCCTCATCACTCATCCGATTCCCAGGTTCGACGGGTTCGGGTTAGAAGCTCCATCTGCTTGTATAACGGCATGCCTGTCGACTTCATCTCTTTGTAAACCTCGAAGATCAGAACATACTGAGCACGAAGTGCGGAGCAGTGACTGCTAAACGACATTCCCCATGCTGATCCCGGCAACCCACGCAGAGCGACCAACAACGTCCAATGCGAGACACTTGCTACAGTACTCCTCCTGCATCCAGTACCAATAGACAGCTCTTAAACTCAACTAAGTCTATTTCTCACGGTTTTTGGGCTAAGGGATCGGCGCCGAGCTCCAAACCCTTTATCCCACAATCAAGGGTGGATGATTGCTTGGAGGTTCATGGGTAGTTATAAGTGGGGTTATACGTCCCCTAATATGGCTTATAAGTATAGCTACCCTACTTATAACCCTACTTATAACAACCCAAACCTTAATCCCTAAACCCTAAACCCTATACTATACATCCCTTTAAAGGAACGCTAAACCTCTTATAACCCTACTTATAACTACCCATGAACCTCCAAGTGCAGGAGAAGCTGCCTAAGGCCACCAGCACCTCCATAACTTTCGCGCCCTGAAGCTGGGAGCTGACACCTCTGAGGCCCGCAAAGAACCTCAGCTTACTCTGGGCTACCATAGGGTTTAGGGTTTAGGGGTTTAGGGGTTAGGGGTTTAGGGCTTAGGGGTTGGGGGTTTAGGGGTTTAAGGTTTAGGGGTTCATAGAGGTTTAGGGGTTTAGGGTTTAGGGGTTTAGGGGTTCATAGGGGTTTCGGGGTTTCGGGGTTTAGTGTTTAGGGGTTTAGGGGTTTATCGTTTAGGGTTTAGGATTTAGGGTTTCGGCGCTCACACTCGGGCAATCCAGGCGAGGCATATGGTTCGGAGTCTGTGAAGTGAGACTACACTAAGAGGCATCGTCACGACAGCATCAACAGACAATAGCAACACATGAATTAACTGTGCTCGTTGACGTAACCTCTCCTCGGAATTCCAGGAATTCGAATCAGCAAAGAAGTTGGGACTCCGAGGCGCACAGAGAACAAGACAGATCGGTCGAAGATGGGCATAGGGGTACCAAAATACGATGTGGTCAGAAGGCCACCTACAAGGGTGTAAGCCGGGACGGCTGGGACGTGGCGACCTGGTCGAAATCGTGGTTACTACGATTTCATATTGTCAGCACATTACCGACTGCATTGAATTATAAGGCTTTTGAGGACCTTATTGCTTACAGAGTGGTGAAACTCGGAAGACTTACGTTTTCATACAGTTCATACGGTATATAGGTTCAGACAGTACGACCCCAGTGATTTAGGGTTTAGGGGTTAGGGGAGGGGTTTAGGGTTTAGGGTTTGGCCATAGGGCGCTTTTGTACGGGTTCTATGAAGGTTACTATGAGGGCACTGTAAGGGCTATTACCTGAATTCGGTGAGGGTCTCTACAAGGGCTCCAGGGCAGAGTTAGAGGCTCAGGAGCTTGACCAAGGCCCCATTTGGTGGGCAATGGCAACTGGGACCCCAGGCAGCGAACTCACAAAGTATGGGTAGCTGGAAGTATACGGCATACTGTCGAAGGCTGTGGAGGGTTCATCTTGGGTTTGGGGTTTGAAGTGAAAACTGCGAGGATAATTACAGTGGCTGACAGCCTGGGGAAGCCTTGTCTAGAAAGACTGCGGCTTCGGATGGTGAGCCATCTGAGCCACCGCTTGCAAGCGTTGTTGCGTGTGACGTCGCTAAAAACACTATCTTGACCCGACCCGGCCAGGGCCCGATACAAAAGAACCTTACCTGGCACGGAGTGCCCAAAGTGGAGCCTAAATGCGAACACCAAGTTGTCCGCCAAGCACTCTTCACCCCACATCAGCAGCTGGAGCCACCCTCGTGTTCCGCCCTGCTCACACACAACCAAGTGAAGGAATCCTACTTAGAGGATCATGGGACTTAGTAAGTAGGTTATAATTGGGGTTATAAGTCCCCTAAGTGGGGTTATCCTAATTATAGCTTACTTATAACCCTTACTTACTAAGTCCCATGATCCTCCAAGTACGAACCTTACGAACCCGAGGCTCCAAGGATTGCAGAAGCCGAAGGAGCTGAAGATGCTGGCGCACAGTGTAAACGTCGTAGAGCGGGTTGTCCTGCAAACTCCCTCGGGTCTGGGTCAGAAGGGATGTAACATACGGGCCTGAACAATTACAAATAGCATATGGGGGGGCTCCTCTTCTGACTGATATAGCACAATGTGCCCCAACATCCCATCCGAAAGCCAAGGTAACTCAGGGCTCAGCAGCATCAAACACCACTGCATCCCAAGCAAATCGACTGAACCCTGAAACCCGAAGAAAACTTCACACGCAAGGCGGCTCGGGGCTCGAAAATCCAGCAACCTGAATTGACCGATGCGGTCGCAAGAGGGACCCTTACATCGAATACTTCAAGACCAGTAGATTCAAAAGTGCGACTAGCGCCGGAAGTGTTGGGAGGTGCTGGCTTGTACACAGCATGTCTTTGCTGAAACAACCGGAGTCTAGCTCCCTAAACCCTTTAAGATTTTTGGCTTACGGGGCATAGGGTTTATCATCCTCGAAGACAGGCTTCTGAAATCCCTGAGCGGTCCTGGGGACATATACTCAACTGCCTTCTCACATCTTCGATGCGCGTGTGCACATCGTAGCCGTTCACCGAAGCACTGCCGCTCGTCATCGGAATCAACCCAACCACACCTAGGCGAAGCTGAAGTTCAGAGGGGCCCACGTTCGTGTTCAGAGTACACCCAGAGGCCCCAAAGTAGTTCCTTGTGGGGGTTCAAATTTAGAATCCTATGAGGTAATCCCAAAAAGGAATTACTATGGGGCCTCTGGGCAGGACATAGGGTCAGTGTTCACGACTTAGAGGCCCATAGCTTGACTGTATAAGCCGCGAAGCGAGCATTCAACAAGCACAGCGAACAATAACGTATCTACATATGCCGTAAGGAAGATCCCCGTATCTACAGTCGGCAATGAACCCCTGCACGAAAATTCTCACGCCGCCCGAGTGCAGTTCATGCATGTGGTCTTCCCGGCGCCGTTGTGTCCCAGGAGTGCAAAGATCTCCTGCCACACATTGTTGTTTAGCAGATTCAATATGGTAGCTTCCGAAAATAGGGGACCCTAATATAGTACAGTAAAATAGTAGGATCCTTATTACGAGGACCCCAAAATCAGGTACCCCTAATTTTCGGAAACTCCCCTTTGGGAAGCCCTCAATTCAACTGTGCGAACTGAGTCCCTTGTCGGCCGCCCCCTGGAACACAATACTTCTGGGACGTATGCAAGAACTCGGAATTGAACGACACTCACTAAGAGCTGTCAAGCTCACAAGGATCCTAGAGCCCCTAAACAAAAAATGGCTCAAACATCAACCCGACGACATGGGTCTCTTGCTGGATGCTGGAGGGCTTTCAAAGGTGCCGAAGCATAGCGGTTTGTGCTGAAAGGGAGCTGTTGCTGCAGGGAACTGATGCATGTGGAAACTGCTCTTGTAAAACTGGCCTCGCACACATCTGAACTACGTTCAAAACAACGTTGTAGGGTGTATAGAGTATACAGGGCACAGTACAAAGCACTTTGTTCAGCCATGGAATTGAAATGGGAGTTTCCGAAAACAGGGGACCCGAATACAGTACCCTAAATAGTGGGATCCTTAGTATAAGGACCCCAAGATAAGGTACCCCTAATTTGCGGAAACTCCCACATGAACAGCTTCAAGAGCTGTCGGTAAGTTGGTAAGGCAGGACAAGCTCCTCAGTCTTGTGAAACCGAAAGACCAAACCTTTAAATTTACACAACTACCTAGAGGTTCCATAGTAGTTCCTTTTGCGGGTTACCCTAGGATTCTACATGTGAACCCCGAAAAAGGACTACTATGGAGTCTAATG